GTCTAACCCCAGCGTCTAAGTCTAAGTTTAACTCCAGTGTCTAAGTCTAAGTTTAACCCCAGTGTCTAAGTCTAACCCCAGCGTCTAAGTCTAAGTTTAACTCCAGTGTCTAAGTCTAAGTTTAACCCCAGTGTCTAAGTCTAACCCCAGCATCTAAGTCTAAGTTTAACCCCAGTGTCTAAGTCTAACCCCAGCGTCTAAGTCTAAGTTTAACTCCAGTGTCTAAGTCTAAGTTTAACCCCAGTGTCTAAGTCTAACCCCAGCATCTAAGTCTAAGTTTAACCCCAGCGTCTAAGTCTAACCCCAGCGTCTAAGTCTAAGTTTAACTCCAGTGTCTAAGTCTAAGTTTAACTCCAGTGTCTAAGTCTAAGTCTAACCCCAGTGTCTAAGTCTAACCCCAGTGTCTAAGTTTAACCCCAGTGTCTAAGTCTAACCCCAGCGTCTAAGTCTAAGTTTAACTCCAGTGTCTAAGTCTAAGTTTAACCCCAGTGTCTAAGTCTAACCCCAGCGTCTAAGTCTAAGTTTAACTCCAGCATCTAAGTCTAAGTTTAACCCCAGTGTCTAAGTCTAACCCCAGCGTCTAAGTCTAAGTTTAACTCCAGTGTCTAAGTCTAAGTTTAACCCCAGTGTCTAAGTCTAACCCCAGCATCTAAGTCTAAGTTTAACCCCAGCGTCTAAGTCTAACCCCAGCGTCTAAGTCTAAGTTTAACTCCAGTGTCTAAGTCTAAGTCTAACCCCAGTGTCTAAGTCTAACCCCAGTGTCTAAGTCTAACCCCAGTGTCTAAGTCTAACCCCAGCGTCTAAGTCTAAGTTTAACTCCAGTGTCTAAGTCTAAGTTTAACCCCAGCGTCTAAGTCTAACCCCAGCGTCTAAGTCTAAGTTTAACTCCAGTGTCTAAGTCTAAGTCTAACCCCAGTGTCTAAGTCTAACCCCAGTGTCTAAGTTTAACCCCAGTGTCTAAGTCTAACCCCAGCGTCTAAGTCTAAGTTTAACTCCAGTGTCTAAGTCTAAGTTTAACCCCAGTGTCTAAGTCTAACCCCAGCGTCTAAGTCTAACTCCAGTGTCTAAGTCTAAGTTTAACCCCAGTGTCTAAGTCTAACCCCAGCATCTAAGTCTAAGTTTAACCCCAGTGTCTAAGTCTAACCCCAGCGTCTAAGTCTAAGTTTAACTCCAGTGTCTAAGTCTAAGTCTAACCCCAGTGTCTAAGTCTAACCCCAGCATCTAAGTCTAAGTCTAACCCCAGCGTCTAAGTCTAACCCCAGCGTCTAAGTCTAAGTTTAACTCCAGTGTCTAAGTCTAAGTTTAACTCCAGTGTCTAAGTCTAAGTCTAACCCCAGTGTCTAAGTCTAACCCCAGTGTCTAAGTTTAACCCCAGTGTCTAAGTCTAACCCCAGCGTCTAAGTCTAAGTTTAACTCCAGTGTCTAAGTCTAAGTCTAACCCCAGTGTCTAAGTCTAACCCCAGCGTCTAAGTCTAAGTTTAACCCCAGCATCTAAGTCTAAGTTTAACCCCAGTGTCTAAGTCTAACCCCAGCGTCTAAGTCTAAGTTTAACTCCAGTGTCTAAGTCTAAGTCTAACCCCAGTGTCTAAGTCTAACCCCAGCATCTAAGTCTAAGTTTAACCCCAGCGTCTAAGTCTAACCCCAGCGTCTAAGTCTAAGTTTAACTCCAGTGTCTAAGTCTAAGTCTAACCCCAGTGTCTAAGTCTAACCCCAGTGTCTAAGTTTAACCCCAGTGTCTAAGTCTAACCCCAGCGTCTAAGTCTAAGTTTAACTCCAGTGTCTAAGTCTAAGTCTAACCCCAGCGTCTAAGTCTAACCCCAGCGTCTAAGTCTAAGTTTAACTCCAGTGTCTAAGTCTAAGTCTAACCCCAGTGTCTAAGTCTAACCCCAGCGTCTAAGTCTAAGTTTAACTCCAGTGTCTAAGTCTAAGTCTAACCCCAGTGTCTAAGTCTAACCCCAGCGTCTAAGTCTAAGTTTAACTCCAGTGTCTAAGTCTAAGTTTAACCCCAGTGTCTAAGTCTAACCCCAGCATCTAAGTCTAAGTTTAACCCCAGTGTCTAAGTCTAACCCCAGCGTCTAAGTCTAAGTTTAACTCCAGTGTCTAAGTCTAAGTTTAACCCCAGTGTCTAAGTCTAACCCCAGCATCTAAGTCTAAGTTTAACCCCAGCGTCTAAGTCTAACCCCAGCGTCTAAGTCTAAGTTTAACTCCAGTGTCTAAGTCTAAGTCTAACCCCAGTGTCTAAGTCTAACCCCAGTGTCTAAGTTTAACCCCAGTGTCTAAGTCTAACCCCAGCGTCTAAGTCTAAGTTTAACTCCAGTGTCTAAGTCTAAGTCTAACCCCAGCGTCTAAGTCTAACCCCAGCGTCTAAGTCTAAGTTTAACTCCAGTGTCTAAGTCTAAGTCTAACCCCAGTGTCTAAGTCTAACCCCAGTGTCTAAGTTTAACCCCAGTGTCTAAGTCTAACCCCAGCGTCTAAGTCTAAGTTTAACTCCAGTGTCTAAGTCTAAGTTTAACCCCAGTGTCTAAGTCTAACCCCAGCGTCTAAGTCTAAGTTTAACTCCAGTGTCTAAGTCTAAGTCTAACCCCAGTGTCTAAGTCTAACCCCAGTGTCTAAGTCTAACCCCAGCATCTAAGTCTAAGTCTAACCCCAGCGTCTAAGTCTAACCCCAGCGTCTAAGTCTAAGTTTAACTCCAGTGTCTAAGTCTAAGTCTAACCCCAGTGTCTAAGTCTAACCCCAGTGTCTAAGTTTAACCCCAGTGTCTAAGTCTAACCCCAGCGTCTAAGTCTAAGTTTAACTCCAGTGTCTAAGTCTAAGTTTAACCCCAGTGTCTAAGTCTAACCCCAGCGTCTAAGTCTAAGTTTAACTCCAGTGTCTAAGTCTAAGTTTAACTCCAGTGTCTAAGTCTAAGTCTAACCCCAGTGTCTAAGTCTAACCCCAGTGTCTAAGTCTAACCCCAGTGTCTAAGTCTAACCCCAGCGTCTAAGTCTAACCCCAGCGTCTAAGTCTAAGTTTAACTCCAGTGTCTAAGTCTAAGTTTAACCCCAGTGTCTAAGTCTAACCCCAGCGTCTAAGTCTAAGTTTAACTCCAGTGTCTAAGTCTAAGTTTAACCCCAGTGTCTAAGTCTAACCCCAGCGTCTAAGTCTAAGTTTAACTCCATTGTCTAAGTCTAAGTCTAACCCCAGTGTCTAAGTCTAACCCCAGCGTCTAAGTCTAAGTTTAACTCCAGTGTCTAAGTCTAAGTCTAACCCCAGTGTCTAAGTCTAACCCCAGTGTCTAAGTCTAACCCCAGTGTCTAAGTCTAACCCCAGCGTCTAAGTCTAAGTTTAACTCCAGTGTCTAAGTCTAAGTCTAACCCCAGTGTCTAAGTCTAACCCCAGTGTCTAAGTCTAACCCCAGCGTCTAAGTTTAACCCCAGCGTCTAAGTCTAAGTCTAACCCCAATGTCTAAGTCTAAGTCTAACCCCCAGTATCTAAGTCTAAGTCTAACCCCAGCGTCTAAGTCTAAGTCTAACCCCCAGTATCTAAGTTTAAGTCTAACCCCAGTGTCTAAGTCTAACCCCAGCGTCTAAGTTTAACTCCAGTGTCTAAGTCTAAGTCTAACCCCCAGTATCTAAGTTTAAGTCTTACCCCAGTGTCTAAGTCTAAGTCTAACCCCCGTCTACCACCCTCCGCACCTACCTTTTTCACCTACCTTCCAGTGTCCTTGCAGTCGTTGCCGTGACAAAGCAAGACACACAACATACGTGTATTGTTTATTTGTTTATTACAGTCTGTTTCTGCAAGGCAGGACTCATACAATCATATACATACGCGCTATACCAGCAACGACACATTGAGAAGCAAAACATGTAATGAATATGGGTCTCTGATTCCAAGACTTAGTTTATAGGCGCAGAATCCACACATTCTGTACATGGCACAACACAGTTTACAGGCGCAACTTAACACATATTGCATACATGGCACAACACAGTTTACAGGCGCAACTTAACACATATTGCATACATGGCACAACACAGTTTACAGGCACAGCAGATGCATATGCAGTACACTTTAAGACATGGTTCGCATAGATGTCAGACCAACCAGAGAAAGGGTACAAAGCCTCCACACCCCATTAGTGACACCACACTTGTGAGAATGTTGCATACTGCAACCCACCTCAAAAGCAGTGCAGATCTCAGCCCACCCAAAGACATTGCAATTCTCAGAATGGCCACAAAGGGGCGCGAGTCTCACACTGGCCGGGAAGGAACAAAATCGCCTCCGACGGCCCTTGGTTACGGGGTTGGGTTAGCCCTGCCTAGGAGCAAACAAAGCAAGGCTAGCCCAACCCCGTAACCAAGGCAAAGCTAAAGCCAATTCGGCTTACATTAATTGAATGTAAAACTAAAGCCAATTTGGTTGAAGCCAATTGAATGTAAAGCTAAAGGTCAATTTGGTTGAAGCCAATTGAATGCAAAGCCAAAGCCAATTTGGTTGATGCAAAATGATTGCAAGGCTAAAGCCAATTTGGTTGAGATAAATTGAACGCAGATGCTGAAATCAGCGCAACTCTCAAAATGGCCGCAACGGGGCGCGAGTCTCAGACTGGCCGGGAAGGAACAAAATCGCCTCCGACGGCCCTTGGTTACGGGGTTGGGTTAGCCCTGCCTAGGAGCAAACAAAGCAAGGCTAGCCCAACCCCGTAACCAAGGCAAAGCTAAAGCCAATTTGGTTTACATTAATTGGATGTAAAACTAAAGCCAATTTGGTTGAAGCCAATTGAATGTAAAGCTAAAGTCAATTTGCTTGAAGCCAATTGAATGCAAGGCTAAAGCCAATTTGGTTGAAGTCAATTGAATGTAAAGCTAAAGCCAATTTGGTTGAAGGCAATTGAATGCAAAGCTAAAGCCAATTTGGTTGAAATCAATTGAATGCAAAGCCAAAGCCAATTTGGTTGAAGTCAATTGAATGCAAGACTAAAGCCAATTTGGTTGAAGCCAATTGAAGGCAAAGCCAAAGCCAATTTGGTTGATGCAAAATGATTGCAAAGCTAAAGCCAATTTGGTTGAGATAAATTGAACGCAGATGCTGAAATCAGCGCAACTCTCAAAATGGCCGCAATGGGGCGCGAGTCTCACACTGGCCGGGAGGAACAAAATCGCCTCCGACGGCCCTTGGTTACGGGGTTGGGTTAGCCCTGCCTAGGAGCAAACAAAGCAAGGCTAGCCCAACCCCGTAACCAAGGCAAAGCTAAAGCCAATTTGGCTTACATTAATTGAATGTAAAACTAAAGCCAATTTGGTTGAAGCCAATTGAATGTAAAGCTAAAGTCAATTTGGTTGAAGCCAATTGAATGTAAAGCTAAAGCCAATTTGGTTGAAGTCAATTGAATGTAAAGCTAAAGCCAATTTGGTTGAAGCCAATTGAAGGCAAAGCTAAAGCCAATTTGGTTGAAGCCAATTGAATGCAAAGCCAAAGCCAATTTGGTTGAAGTCAATTGAATGCAAAGCCAAAGCCAATTTGGTTGATGCAAAACGATTGCAAGGCTAAAGCCAATTTGGTTGAGATAAATTGAACGCAGATGCTGAAATCAGCGCAACTCTCAAAATGGCCGCAATGGGGCGCGAGTCTCACACTGGCCGGGAGGAACAAAATCGCCTCCGACGGCCCTTGGTTACGGGGTTGGGTTAGCCCTGCCTAGGAGCAAACAAAGCAAGGCTAGCCCAACCCCGTAACCAAGGCAAAGCTAAAGCCAATTTGGCTTACATTAATTGGATGTAAAACTAAAGCCAATTTGGTTGAAGTCAATTGAACGTAAAGCTAAAGCCAATTTGGTTGAAGTCAATTGAATGTAAAGCTAAAGCCAATTTGGTTGAAGTCAATTGAATGTAAAGCTAAAGCCAATTTGGTTTACATTAATTGTATGTCAAGCTAAAGCCAATTTGGTTGAAGAAGCCAATTGAATGCACACGCTGAAATCAGCGCAACTCTCAAAATGGCCGCAAAGAGGCATGAGCCTGAAAGTGGCCTGGAGGGAACTCAGATGGCATCAGAAGGAAGCGTTGATTGGCCTGGGAGCAGAAGGGCCCTCAGGAAGGGTGCGGGTGGGTTGGATCGCTGGGCTGAGGCCGATGGGATGAACTGCAATGAGACCGAGCGCCGCATCCCACACGCTGCCTGCGATGACCTTGGTAGGGGCTTGTGGCAGAGTGACGGGAAGATCATGGAAGGGGAACGGAGCGGGGATTCGGGTAACGGTTGACCGAACCGAGCTGGCGGTGAGTGTGGGAGGCCTGGAAAGCCGATGGCGTCGCAGGGGGGAAGTCATCGACTGGAAGCGTCGAAGGCATCTTCACCTGTAATACAGAGACACGCTTTAGAAGGAAGAAGGCCAAGACCCAAACTGTGCTCACCGTCAGCCCACCCCCACAAAACATGGAAGCCAAACACCGCTCTAAGAAAAGGCTTCAGACTAAGGTTAGGAGTATTTAACAGGAAAGGTGTTAGGGTTAGGTACATCAGGATTAGGGTTAGAGTGACCGTTAGGGAAGGCCAAGGCAAAGGCAGGAGCAAAAGGCAAGGAGAACAGCCGAGGGAACGCCAAAACAGAGGGCAAAGGGATGGGTAAGACATGGAGAACGCCGAGAGGTCACATCAGAGGTCAGGCCCAAGGAGAAGGCCGCAGAGAACGCCAGAATGGAGACCAAAGAGATCGACGCAGAAGGCCAAAATGGAGGGCGAGATCCGTGAGAACGCTGTAGGGAAGGCCGATGCAGAAGGTCAAGGGCAATGGCCAAAGAGAATGCGGCACAAAAGGCCAAAACCAAAGGCAAAGAGAATGCTGTAGGAGAAGACAAAACAAGAGGCCAAAGGGAATGGGCAAAGAAGGCCAGGAGCAATGGCCGAAAAGAACGTGGAAGGGAACGCCAAAATAGAAGCCAAAGAGAACGCCGCAGGGAACGCCAGAACAGGAGGCCAAAGGAAATGGGGCAAAGAAGGCCGAGGGCAACGGCCAAAGAGAACGCAGCCATGAACGCCAGAACTGAAGGCCAAAATAATGCTGTAGGGAACGCCAGAACGGGAGGGAAAGTGAACGTGGCAAAGAAGGCCAAGGACAAAGGCCAAGGCAATATGGCACAGATGGCTAAAGCCGAAGGCCAAAGAAAACGCAGTGAAGGTGGCCGAGGGCAAATGGCCGAGAGAATGCCACAGGGAACGCCAAAACAGGAGGGCAAGAGAACGCAGCAGGGAAAGCCAAGGGCAAGGAGAACGCTGCAGTGAAAGGCTGGAGGCGATAACACAGAAAGAAAAGGACAGGCAGCATCCAGGGCACCACGAAGTGCAATGAAGAGCTCTGGGAACCCTACCTTGTGCCTCGCTAAGTAATGAGTAAACACCGGTAGGTGAGCATCGCCCTTACCTGCTGGGCAGACAATTACCGGCCAGCAAAGCGGGGTTCCGGGCATCCCAGGAAATGCAGATTCCGGTTCCTTGCTGCTGCCTGAAGAGCTGCGCATCTCCGTGCTGTCCTTACAGCGCTCTGCAGCGCCGCAGCTCCGCTGCCACCTGTGGGACACAACGCAGTAATGAAGGCGCTGCCCCGCATTTGTGGGGCTGCACCCTGAGCACAATGCTGTAATGATGACACAAGGGTTGTAATTAATTATAATTAACGTTAGGGATAGAATTAATGCTATTGATAGGGTTGAAGTTACAGTTGGTCTAACATCAGTATTCTGCACTACAATTACAATTAAGGTTATTTGACAAAACATGGGGTATTATTTTTACAGCAGCATTCATGGTAAGAGACATTTTCAACACTGGGTTTGGTCTACAGATACGCTGCAGGTTAACAAAGTTATCGTTAGAACTCCCATTCAGCTGTGGGTTCAGGTTAAGGTTAATGTTAATGTATCCTCCCAGCTAATCCCAGAGTGCCAAAAGCAAAGGGAAACAAAACTCCCGTGGAAAGCCAAGGTAAATGCAAAGCAAACAGCCAAGCTAAGGCAAGGGCAAAAGCAAAGAGAGCACCAATGGAAAGCCAAGGGGAGGACAAGGAGAACGCAACAGGAAAGGCCGAGGGCAAAGGCCAAGAGAACGCAGCACAAAATGCTGAAACAAAAGGCCGAGGGAACACGGCATGGAATGCCCAGGAAAGGGCTAAGACAACATGGCAGGAAGTGCCAAAATAGGAGGCAATAGAATGCTGCCGGGAACGCCAAAATCAAATGCTGAAGAGAAAGGGGCTACATAAAGCCAAGGGCAATGGCCAAGAGAACATAGCATGGGACACAATAACAGGGGGGCGAGGGAATGCCCAGAGAAGGGCAATGGCCAAGAGAACGTGGAAGGAAATGCCAAGGATGATGGCCAAGAGAACACGGCAAGAAACGCCAAAACAGGAGGGCAGCAGAACGCAGCAGGGAACGCCAAAACTGAATGCTGAAGTGAATATGGCAAAGAAAGCCCAGGGCAACGGCCAAGAGAACTCAGCGTGGAACACAAAACCAGGAGGACAAGAGGATGCCCAACCAATGGCGACGGCTAACAGAACATGGAAGGAAATGCCAGAACAGGAGGGCGAGAGAACGCGGCACGGAACGCCAAAACTGAATGCTGAAGTGAATGCGGCAAAGAAAGCCGAGGGCAGCGGCCAAGAGAACGTGGCATGGAACACAAAAACAGGAGGGCAAGAGAATGGAGTAGGGAACAGCAAGGGCAAAGGGAATGAAAACACTGCAGTGAAAGGCCGCAGACAAGCAGAACACAGAAAGGACAGGCAGCATCCAGGGCACCACGAAGTGCAATGAAGAGCTCTGTGAGCACCGTGCTGTGCCATGCTAGGGAACGGGTAAACGCTGGTGGGTGTGCATTGCCCTTACCTGCTGGGCAGACAATTACCGGCCAGCAAAGAGGGGTTCTGGGCATTCCAGGAAATGCAGATTCCGGTTCCTTGCTGTTTCCATAAGAGCCACGCATCTCCATGCGGTCGTTACGGCTCTCCGGAGTGCCGCAGCCTGCTGCCACCTGTGGGACACAAAGCAGTAATGAAGGCGCTGCCCTGCAGATGTGCCTCTTTCACAAACCTGCACTCCTTTCTCTGATCAACGTGGCTGCACTCTGCGCACGATACTGCTTACCAGCAGCACTGAGCTGGGAACAACAGACAAGGAGAAGGCTGAGGTACCCAACAACATCCATCTTCCATCTACTCTGATAACTGCTCATTACACACTGCCCTCACCTTTGGTTTGGTAGATTCAGGAAGCAATGCCGGTCCCACAGAGCCCTCCCTATCCCACACTGTGATGGGAGATCAGGTTCTGGACCACCTGAGGACCCGAGCATCCAGGAGTCTTTGGGTCCTGATGAGTCCCAGAGCTCTGAGGGAATTCAGTGCTGCAGTCACCGAGCCACTCCCAGTGGTACTTGAGAAGTCGAGGCAGTCAGGTGAAGTCTCTGGTGAGCAGAAAAAAGGCGACAGCACAGCTGTTACTGCAGATATAAAGTGTGACCCTGGGAACTGCCGACGTCAGTCTCACCTCTCTGCTGCAAAAAATCATGGAGCAGATCCTCCTGGAAGGGACTCTGAAGCACGTTCCAGTGCGTCACCACCCTCTGTGTGAAAAGCTTCCTCCTAATAACCAACGTAAACCTCCCCTGTCTCACATTAAAACCATTCCCCCTTGTCCTCACAATCCACCCTTGTAAACAGCCGTTCCCCTTCCTGCTGTTCCCCCATTCAAGTACTGGAAAGCTGCAACGAGGTCTCCCCCAAGCCTTTTCTTCTCCAGGCTAAACGAGCCCACTTCCCTCAACCTTTCCTTGTAGGAGAGCTGCTCCAACCATCTGATCATCTCAGTGCCTCCTCTGGACCCGCTCCGTGAGCTCCACGTCCTTCCTGTGCTGGGGGCCCCACGCCTGGATGCAGCGCTGCAGATGGGGCCTCACAAGAGCAGAGCAGATGGGGACGATCACCTCCCTCTCCCTGCTGGCCGCTCCTCTTTTAAGGCAGCCCAGAACACAGCTGGCCTTCCAGGCTGCAAGCCCGCTCTGCTGGCTGACGTCCAGCTTCTCATCCACCAGGATTCGCAAGCCCTTCTCTGTGGGGCTGCTCTCAAAGTGTTCTTTGCTGAGTTTGCACACACATCTGGAATTGCCCCTTCATCAGCGACATTGACAGTAGGGTGGAGTGCACCCTAATGACACCGAGCTGTGGGGTGCGGTGACACACCAGAGGGACGGGATGCCATCCAGAGGGACCTCAACAGGCTGAGTAGTGGCACTCAGCAACGCGCCTTCCAGTCCAGAAAGCCAACCGTACGCTGGGTTCCATCCAAAGATGTGCGGTCAGCAGGCGAAGGGAGGCGGTCCTGCCCCTCTGCTCTGCGCTGGGAGGCCTCACCTGGAGGTGCTGCATCTGGATGTGGATGTCTGCAGAGCAGGACAGATGTGGAACTGTTGGAGCACATCCATAGAACGGCCACAAACATGAACCGAGGGATGGAACGCCTTTCCTATAAAGACAGAGAGCTGGAGCTGCTCAGCCTGCAGAAGGGAAGGCTCCGAGGTGATCTGGTAACAGCCTTTCAACACCTGAAGGGAAGAACAAGGAAAGATTTAGCCTAGATATGAAGAAAATCCTGTACAGTGATGGTGGTGACACAGCAGAACAGATTACCCAGACATGATGGATGCCCTGTCCCTTCCAAGGTGAGGCTGGGTCAGGCTCTGGGCACTTATCTGGCTGTGGATGTTCCTGTTCGTTGTGTGGCAGTTGGACGAGATCACCACCAATGGTACCAAGTACTCCAGCTGGGATAATCCACATTCGTCAGAGCCTCTCTGGGCCAGTCCCAGTATTCAGCAGAGCAGGGGCTTCACTTCATCACGCTGTTGGGAACCAGAGTTGCAGAGCATTGAATGCAGGTCAGGGGGTGGGAGGAAGAGGAATTGGGGTTTGGGTGTCGTACAGATTAGGAAACTGACGGCATCTCCAGACAATTAGGATGGAGATATCTGGGGTGATGCTGAGTACAGTGGTCCAGAAGAGGACAAACCTTGGCTTCCTATAAAGATGAAGACTTATTACACCTAAGGGTGCACAGAATGCCTTTAAACAACTCTGCACGGTTGGAAGCAGTGCATAACAGCCCTGAAATAAAGGAAGAAGAAGTTACTCCATTCCAAAGATGAACACTCAGCCCACACTGCCAAGGAAGTAGTCTCCAGGTACAGATGCTACCCTTATGGCTTCCACCCCTTAAAAGTGGTCAGGAAACTATATAAAGAAAAAAACAAAAACAAAAACAAAACACACACACAAAACACAAGGGAAGATTGCAGCCCTGAAATGAAGAAGAAACCACTTATACCCTTCTCAAAGGCCAAAACTCACTCATGCTCCACAGGAGACAGTCTCCAGAGATCAACATTGCCCATACATCTGTCAGCACTTAGATGTGGTCAGGATGCCCCAAAAACCAAAAGGGAAAGGTCACAGCCCTAAAATAAGAAGGAATCACTCATCTTTTCTTAAGGACCAGACCTCACCCCACACTCCCAAGAAGACAGTCTCTAAAGATGGATACCACCTTAAAGGCTACCAGCCCCTAAGTGGAGTCAGGATCCTCCCAAAAACAAGATATTGCAACTCTGGAATAAAGAATCACTCACCCTGTTTCAAGGGTTCACCCCACGCTCTAAAGGAAGCAGTCTCCAGGTGCAGTTGCCGCTCTTTCTGCTGACAGACCTTAAACATGGTCAGGAGCCCTCCAGAAAGTAAAATTACAATCCAGCAATAAAGAAGAAACCAATGACCCCATTCCAAAAGCAAACACTCAGCCCACACCCCAAAGGAAGCAGTCTCCATGCAGAGTCTCCGTACAGCTTTCTACCTTTAAAAGCAGTTAGGATCCCAAAAACAGAAAGACCAGAGCCCTGCAACAAAGCATCAATCACTCACCCCAATTCCAAAGAGCAGAACTTGCTTCCAATGATCCCAAGGAGGCAGCTCCCAAGCAGAATGCTGCCCTTGCTGTTCCCAGCCCTTAAATATGGGCAGGGAGGGGGTGGAGCCAAGCTCAGCCCTATCCGGTCCCACAGGTAGATTGCTTCCACCTGTGCTGGCAGGGCTGGCCACACCCCTCACCAGGTGCTCAATCACTGCTTCAGACTGTAAACAACAACAAAAAAAGACTAATTACAAGCAGGTGATTGGATCTGCCTGTCCAGCAAGGGGAGTTTGATCAAAGGATGAGCAACAATGGCATGCATATTTTGATTGAAGTCTGTCCTCAAAAGCATTCAGTAAAATTTCTGATAGATAGGGGAGCACAAATTTCAGTACTGATAAAGCACACAAATTTCAGTACTGATACAGCAAGATGCTGAAAAGCTGTGTGTGCAGCCTCGATGGCAGAGTTGAGATTTCTGGTGTGATCGGAGCGAGCGCTGTTTGCCAAACTAGTGGGGACAGCTTGTGGCTCTCCAGTGAGAAACGTGTCGCCTACTTTCTTTGTAATTAAAGCCCATTGTGAAAACAATTC